GTGGGAGGAAGGGAGAAACCTGGAGCTGCTTAACGGGGAGCTGCAGGAATGGAATACGGGAGCGTCTGTTCTGCGGTGACTGGCTAACGGTTTAAAGTAACTCTGTGAGAAGCTCTCGAGACCCGGTGGTTTCTTTGTGTAACAAAGGACGTTCATTTTTTGTATTCCTAACGTGTCTCTTTTATCTATATGGTATGCGTGTAACAAAGAAATTCCTTTGTTCATCTTTATGGGAATACCGCTGTAGTTATAGAGCGTGTAAATATAATAATAGCTAAGTAGTAGAGAAGCACTCTGGCATTAAAAAGCTGTCGGTGAGGGAGAGCGAGGTGGGGTGCATTGCACAGTCTCGGGACAGTGTGAGAGTACAGGGCTGTCTGAAACCGATACAGAGGAAGCTCTGAGTGTGTGTGAACAGGTAGGAAATAAAAACAGGTTAAGTAATGGATACAGAGGTACACTGGTACAGTGGTGGTATGTGTATAATGGAATTAGGCATCTGAAAATTAACTAAAGTTGGTCTGCGACTCTTAAATTGCCATTTTATTGCTTTAGGTCACTAGAGGGATGGAGAATGCAGGTGTTGAACTTAGAAGCAAAGCCAAACCTCACCTGGCAGCTGGTAAAAGGGCTGCTTTGGAAGAAATTGGAAATAAAGTTACAACAAGAGGAACGCATGCAGCCAAGGTAGAGGAACATTTGAAATTTATCTATAATGAAACTGTGAATTACTAGTTCTGTGCTGATAGTAGTTGTTTTCACTACAGAAAACAGAATGCTCCAAAGCATCCATAAAGCCTACAAAAGGACCTAGTAAGAGGCCAGATCCAATTGCACTGCATAAACCTCCAGCTGCTCTGAAACAAACATTCAAAGAAACCAGTGATCCAAAGGTAGGAATTAATGATACTATTCTGATTCTTAACTTGATTTGCAGCTTAGAGCTCTGACTTCAGAATTGCTTATCTGTAGATGTATCTCACTTCCCTGCTGAAAAAGCAACGCCCTCTCTATTGAGGTTTTGGATTAATGCATGTTGTGCCTAAAGGCTACTGTTAAAGTGGCAGAAATAGCCATTTAGGTACAGGATGAAGTTTCTGCTTTAGCTGGCAATTACTAGATCTTCTGATTCTGTCTGTACGGCACCTTGGTGAAGGCTTGCCACGCTAGAATGTAAGTTTGGTTTCAGCATCTTTCAGCTTAAGAAAAATTGTACTAGTAATTGGAAAACCATGGAAATGAAGCAACACTGCAGCTTAAGCAGTAGATATGTAAGCACTATGATCTGTTCTTCAGGTTCCATCTCCTGTCCCTATGGATATATCTATGCAAGAGAAGGATATGTGCCAAGCATTCTCTGACATGTTGCTCAATAATGTAGAAGACATCGATGCCGAGGACTGGAGGAATCCCCAGCTGTGTAGTGACTACGTGAAAGAGATCTATCTGTATCTGAGGGAGCTTGAGGTATGACATACTGAGCCTCTGCTTCTGCAGTAGTGACTATGCGAAAGAGATCTATCTGTATCTGAGGGAGCTTGAGGCATGACATACTGAGCCTGTGCTTCTGCAGTAGAGTGATAATCTTGTTGCTCACACAGCTCTTTCTCCAACAGTTGCAGCAATCGATCCGCCCGCAATACCTTGACGGGAAGGTGCTCAATGGGTGTATGCGTGCACTTTTGGTCGACTGGCTTGTCCAGGTCCACTCAGGACTTGGACTTATGCAGGAGACACTGTATATGTGTGTTGCAATTCTAGACCGCTTCTTACAAGTAAGTAAGATGTTTTTCAGCTCATGTTTGGGTTAGGAGACTTGCTCAATGACTGTGTTTTTAAAGTTTAGGATTTAGTCTTTCTTTATAAATCTAAGAACCTTCAAAATCTGCTCTTTATTTAAGAGCTCTGTATGATGCAGCGTTAACTCTGAGGCTGTGAACCTCCTTGAGCCTGTTGTTATAGGTACCCTTCTGACTTAAAAGTGGAAGATCGCATTTACATTATAAGAATGAGTACTGTCATGCTGGTATTTTAAACTGATTAATTAGAATCTGTTTATCTAGAATTTGACATTTTGGAGTCTGTTTTTTAAATTCCTATATTGTAGAGTCATCCAGTACCTCGTAAGACCCTTCAGCTGGTGGGTGTAACAGCACTGTTTCTAGCTTCAAAATACGAAGAGTTGATGTGTCCATGTGTAGACGACTTTGTTTACATTACTGACAACGCCTACACCAGTGATGAAGTTAGACAAATGGAGATTATGATTCTTAAAGAGTTAAACTTCAGTATAGGAAGACCTCTTCCGCTTCACTTCTTAAGAAGGGCATCAAAAGCTGGGGAGGTGGGTACTTTTTCCTGATTGTCTAGAACTTTTCTGCACATACAAAGTCTTACCAGGATCGATTCTGGCATTTTTAGCATGCAATCTTAGTTGCTTTCTGCTTACATGCTGGATGGAGAAATGCTTGACTATGGAACTCCACCGTGTGGAGTAACGTGCCAACATCACTGGGGGTGCCAGGAGCCGTTTGTATTCACCAGGGCCTGTGGTCAGGCTTGGTGGCAGTCGTTGTGTTGTTGGAGTACATCAAACACACCTAGAGCCAGAACCCTTGTTTTTAGAGTAATCTCGTTTGCTGATCAGGATATTCCCTAGTAAAAGGGGAGCAGTGTTGCAGTTTTTATATTTTGGGTACAAATATTGTATTATTTAAGAATCAAAAGATAAGCTTTCTCTGACCTGACCGTTTTTTCCCACCTCAGTAATTACACTCGATTGAACCACCTGCACTTACAGTGGACTTCAGTTGTGTCAGCAGAGCACTAGTAACTCTTGAATTACTTCTGACTGCTTTAATAAGCATCTCCTTAAGGCATTTTACACTTCCCCCCCATGCCCCTTATCCCTTGTATCCCTAATTGGGTAGAGCAGTGCCCAATACTGCAGTTTTCTGTTAAAATCCCTCACTTGACTTTGTGTCTAAATTGCGTATGACTGTTCAGCAGAACTGGTTTGGAATTTGGTCATGATTTTGAGATGAGTGCCTGTTAGAGAGTATAGCCCCTAGACCTTAATATTTTGTTGACTATTTTTGTTTTGATTTTAATGAATACTATAAGCAATCCTGAGTTATGATAAGGTGAAGTGAAACTGTGCAGATTAACAAGGTTTCCATCTGCAGGCCGATGTCCGGCAGCACACACTAGCAAAATACCTCATGGAGCTGACACTGATAGACTACGACATGGTTCACTATCGTCCTTCAGAGATTGCAGCTGCTGCGTTATGCTTGTCCCAAAAGATTCTGGGATGCAACAAATGGGTAAGGATTTTAATCAAACTTGTTCTTAGGAGTTTTTTCCTTCTGTTGATTTAATTGAACCATTAAAACAACTACTTTAGAAAATCGCATTTAGGTCATGCTGGTGATCAAATGACAGCTGGACAGCCTGATGCAGAGCTGCAGGTGGAAAAAGGAATATACCACTAAAACCTTACTGTCTTTTTCGATGTGAACACTGTGATATGAAAGGATTTTTCTCTTGAAAGTACCGAGTTACAGAACTGTAAATAAAGTATATTTTCATAATTCTCACAGTACATATAGAATAACAAAACTGTTGACCATGAGTAGTGAATTGTAATTCAAGTAGTGGTTACTCTTGGAGGGGTCGCTTCTTTTATCCTCTGCAGTGTAGAAATGTGGTTCTTGGCCATTGATGTGTCCAGACTTCACTGCACACAGAAGTTCTTCTGGATCTGTCAGCTAAACTGCTGGCACTGCAGCTTCTGGCACTCACAGCGCATGAGGCTTCGGGCATTTGCTTCCTGGAGCGATAGTGCCTCGAGCAGCCATCCCCACTTCACACACCTCACATTTCTTACCGTGTCGCTGCAGGGTACAAAGCAGCAGTACTACACGGGCTACACAGAAGAGAGTCTGGAGACAGCTATGAAACATATGGCCAAGAATGTGGTCAAAATAAATGAGTCGTTAACCAAATACACTGTAAGTATAACTACTTAAATTTTCTTTTCAATGTTGTACAAATACCTTTGCTGTGTGTTGTGGCTCCTTAGGTAAACGTTCTGTATGTTAGAGCATATGGTATTCTAAGCCTGTGAGAGGATGTTACATTAGTAGTAACTTCAAAACATTTTAGGCAAACTGTGCTCTTGCTAGTTTGTAAGCTGATTCACTTCTAACCTTGTTTGTTTGCTTGTTTTCCCAGCAGTCAGGCTAATTAACCCAAAATTATCTGCCTGAACTTCAATACTGTATGTGTGAATCTTTTGTAACGCTGTTCCTCTCCCCTTGCAGGCTGTAAAGAAGAAGTACGCAGCTGGCGAACTACTGAAAATCAGCACAATCCCTCAGCTCAGCAGCAACACCATCAGGGACCTGGCTTTGTCGCTCCTGTGATAACCCTGGGCAGCTGCTGGTTTATGAACTTTGTCTTCATTTGCCTTTTGAGGCAAAACTACTGCTTTTTGTACATAGCATTCCTGCCTTACTACAGACAATTCGGACTCAGTCGGATGGTGAAATTTTAAACTTGATTTGTAATACAACTCTCTACGTAGAAATAAAGGTATTGTGACTCTGAGGCATCCCTAGACATGTCTGCCATCTAATGTCCAAGTAAGACATTTGACTAACTAGATGATTGACACAACTTGCAGTCAGATGTGGATGATTATTCTCAATGGTTGTGGCCAATGAGACTCCAGGCTTTATAGTGGATTATATTGAGTAACTTGTTTTCACTCTTAAGGTAAGAAAGTACAGGCAGACACTTCATCTTTTCATGGTGTACCGTAAAGGATGCTAAATATGTACTTTATTTCAGTGCCTTGTCTCAAAGAAGTATTTGGGGATTTCTCTTTTTGTAGTTTGTTGCCTTCGAGTTTAAGAAGAGAAGCGGCCTGGCTGTAAGAGATCTGAGCCTTGTCTGGGTTTGTTTAGGTGAAGGTGAGACAATGTCTTCTCTGTGTACCTGAACAAAGGGAGCTGAGGCTCAGGGGCTGTAGGTGTGAAACTGTAGGGGTGACCTTTTGAACCAGCCTAAGCTCTTAAAACCTGCTTCACTTGGAGAAATAAAAAAACCCCAAACCCCTAGCTTTTCCCTGCTGTTCCTTTTCCCCCCCTTTTTTTTTTTTTTTTTTTTTTTTTTCCTTTTTTTTCTCCCCTCCTGCCTACCTTCCCTCAGTAAGCCTCTGAACCTGGGAAGATAGTCCAGCCCACCATAAGTAGATTCTTCCTTATCACTTAATATTTTGCTTCCCTTTGTTTCTAATAAACATAGGTATCTGTGTGCTCAAGGAACACTAGCATATAAGTAATGCAGCTTTTCTGCCTCAATACCTCATTTAAGCCCCATTTGTTAAGTCAGGCCTATATGAGTAATGTTAAGTTACAGACCCTTAGGTACTTTCTAAGTTGCACTGATGTCATTACCTCCCTTCTCCCAGTGTCTCCTGGTCAGAAGCGTGCTGGCCCTGATGGAGAAGACAAGAACCCAGTACTACAAAGCTGGCCTAGGCCTCAGTGCCCTCCCTGTAGGAAGGATGTTGCAGCTACTGCGCATTATCTTCTCGAGCAGACGTTTTGCTCCCCCAGGACAAGTAAGCCTAGCAATGCAAACGGAATGCTAAAAAAGGTGCTTGATCCCTTCTGTGTATGTGACTTCCCCCGGACTGAGGCCAGAGTTTCTAGCTTCCAGCAACAACTTCTACAGGCCACCATCTCTTAATGGAGGTGGAGGTTAAGTGTGCCTAAATTAGGCTTAGGCAATGGCTTAGGAGGGGAGTTCAGGATTTTCAGCTGTATCTTAAAGCTTTTGCAACTCCTTAATATCAACATATGCAGGTTTTTAAACTGCTTTTAAGACAAAAAATGTAATGCACAGCACTTCAGCTGGGCAGAGTGAAAATGGTTTAGCTTGGAGCAAAGGAAGGGTATTACTTTAGTTTTTTAGAAATGAGTGCAGTAAAACCCAACAGGTGTTGTGAAGGGATCTGTTTGTGTATGTAACAAACTGCACAGAAAACAGACATGTTCAGCTAACTGCTGCTTGTGGTTTATTTTATGGAGGTTCAGAAGGCAAAGCATGAATGCTGATAACTGTAGGCCAAGCAACAGCCGCTCTGGTGTGGGAGGCCACCGGATTTAAGCAGTAACGCTTTTGCTGTTTGGAAGGAGTAGTGCATATCTGTAAGTACCTGGCATAAAAATTCTAGTAGAACTACTTTATGAATAAGAACAGTGGAATACTACATTATACATTCATACATGTTTCTATCATACTCAGTATTTATATACAGTATATGATCTGTTTCTATAAATGTACAGCTCTGCATAAAGACACTTCTTATAACAGGTAGAGCATTAAAGATAAATCCAACATGGGCCAGCCATATTATAATATAAATCTTGAAGAAGGCAACTCTGTTTAGCATACAGTACGACATGGTTTTCTGCTTTAACTTGTAGTGCCTGTTGGAGTCCCTAAACGCGTCGGCAAACACAAACCAGTTCCGTTACAACTCTGTACAGAATTACTTAAATATACCTAAATATACCATCACAGTAGGTTTTTAGATGGTCATATCCCACATGAGCCTAAATCTTTTTGACATGTAGCAGCATACTTAACATGTTCCCCAGAACGATCTGCATCAGAGGAAATGTGCATTTAACATTATCTTCAGTAGGTAATTACAAAGGTTTCTGATACTCAGCTGAAGGCACTTATTTTAAATACACCTCTTTCGAAGTCCCTGGCCCCAGACTGCAAAGGACCTTTCTGTTTCAGGGAGACGGTAGGTTTGAGCATTCTTACTAGGTGTTAAAACCAGCTTTTAAATATAATAAATAATTGGTCAGCGTGTCCATTGCTGTATGCTTCTGAGACAAAAGATCAAAGTCTGTGCTGTGCATAATTATTTTCCTGCTCATACACAACTCTACTGAAGATACTGCTGAGAATGGCAGCTCTCAGAAGAACTGTCTTGAAGATAAAACATCTTCAACCACTGGTAACTTCGTGCCAGTTCTGTCTGATGATAGTCTTTTATATCTTGGTGACATAATTGTTGGGAAACAGCCCCTGTTTCCCTCGTAGTCTTCCTGTCCACCAGCCAGAAGGATCTGTGACAAAGAAAGCAAAGTCATGAGGTTCTGTAACCCTTTTTATACTTTCTGAGGTAGCCTTGCAAAGCTGTTCCACCCTGTGAAAGCCTTGTGAAGGACTGATGAGAAATGGTTTGGAGAACCTGAGCTTGCTACTCTTTATGGCCTTTTGGAGAGACAGAGAGTTACAACTGCTTTATTACTTTGTGGTTCTTGTGCTGTACCTGTGGTTTAGGGTAATTTTCAGCCAGAGCCTGTGACAGAATTACTCTCTAATTAAATTTACAGATCTGCAGTACCAAGTGACATATCTGTCATTGATCTGTCTCATGCTTTGAAGGTGAACAGGTTTGACTGGTGTGGGTCTCTGCTCCTCGAGCTATCATAGAAATCTGCAAGCCTAATAGGGAAGACAGCAGTGGGATGGCTGACAATGTCATGTCTTCACTTACTTAGGACACTACCTTCAAAATTAATACTTCAGTAACAAAATCTTTGATCTTTACATACCTTCTTTAATTATATCAATCACGTCGTTGGCATTAAAGCTGAGTTCATCTGTGTCCTGAGCATCGTATGCATACAGTGCCCTGCACTGTGGGACCTGAGGCTTAGGTTTGGGCTGTGGTTTAGGCCTTCCTCCGGCTGGTGGGGGTCGGTTTGTTGTCTGCCTGCGAACACTAATGGAAGAAAAAATGTCAATGATGTGCTTCAAAGCTTATGTCTTGTACCCAAGCTTTATCAACCCCTCTCTCCTAACGAACGAATTCTAAACAGTGTCACAGAACAAGGGAAAAAGGATTCTCTTTAAATGTCGTAACAATTAAAAATAGCAAGATGATACTTCCCTGTGAAAGGGATGGAGTTGCCATTTCTTTCCTACTGAAATGGATAACAGGTATTTCACACAGCAGTTGAAATGCACAGGAGAAGACACTTAGTGCTCAGGCTGGAACGTAAACAAATGTGCACATGCAGTTCATGCATATCTTGGCATCTACACAGCTTTGTCTGTCTCTCCCCGTGCCCCAACTTTAGCAGGGATTTAGTTTCCAGTATTAAAAACAAAGTTCTAGCTCACAGGCTTCTACTTTACCATTCTTGTGACTAAGCTGTAAGAGAGACTGCGTCTCTTTTAAGTTGCCTCAGATTCCAGGGCCGTCTACGGACTTGTTCTGTTCTAGTCAACTCTGAAGCAGCAGGGGAGATGCTGCACAGACTCTTTGTCACAGCTGTGACCACTCCAAAGATTAGGAAGGGGAAAGAGGGAAGAAATTCTGCCAGCTCATCAGCTAATAAAGGCTGGAAGAGAGAAGAGGTATTAGATGTCAGGTCAAAATGAATAATAAATAAATGTACTGAATGACTAAAAATGTTGCAGTGATGTGAAGGAGGCTGAACTGTGATCATGTCATGTAATGCCATGAAAATGTTACACTGCTCTTGCAGAAAAGGTTTAATTACTTACGTGGAGTCCTGGACTTCATTTTTGTCAGTATGTCTCTGTCTAGTTCTGAGTTTGTGTAGTGAACTGCACCAGAACATGAGCTTTGAAGTAGGGGTTAAGAACATTTCGGGGTTAGCAGCATTTCAGCTCTAAATTTATTTACTGGGAGGTAGGAGTGTCTCCTGTTCAGCATGTATTGCCTTTGGAACAGCATGTGTGGTGAAACCAAGACCTTGGTATGGAAACAAAAGAATTCCGAGCAAGCCTTAGAAAAGTAGCTCAGCTTTTCTGCAACCCCAGTAAAAACAAGAACATATTAGATGAGATGATTTGCTGGTGAGAGCATGGCGGTTTTGACAAACTCTGGCTTTTATTGGATTGTTGGGGATAGTGAGAAATTAAAGCTGTGTACCACCAGTGCATCCTTCTCAGCAGCTTTGCTACAAATAAACCTAATTCTAACCCTTAAAAATTCTGTCTATGATGGCTGTGGTTTTGAAATACTACATTTACCTCTTTGAGCTCACTCCTTGTGTACAGGGACCACGAGAGCTTTCCCTTTTGAAAAAGAACAGTCACTGAAACCCGCTGCTGAATATAGACAGTCTTATAAATGGCAGTTTTGTATGAGCACTACCTTTGGTCTGTCACTGCTGTAAAGCTCCTCTGGGATGTTTGTTTTTCATAGTGGTGAACGGATTGGAGCAGCTTTAGGTCAGCGATGCTGGGACTGGTACTCAGCAGGGAGAAGGGGCAGAAACCCAGGCACTGGGGGGGCGCTGCCGGCCCCGCTGCTGCTGTGAGACGGGGGCCGTGGCAGCCAGCTCGTGTGGTTTGGGGCTTTTACACACCCCCCGCCCCCAGGAAACTGTTCTCAATCAGCCTCGGAAATGGTTAGTGCTGGCAGGGACAAGAACTGTGCTGTGTTCATGTTATGGCAATGACAAATTGGTCTTCTGACTGTGTGACTGGAATATGCTGTTACTACCATTAACAAAGCATTGAATGTGCTGTGTCAAAACGCTACAATTC